TAGAAATATACCGCTATGCCCTATGTGAATCGTTAGTTGTTCTCAAAAACTTATGCATTCTTGTATGTTCGCTTCCGTCATAGAGATGTAGTCGGGTTACATATTGGAATAGGATTAACTTTACTCGAAAGAGACTGTTAAATAAGTTTCGAGCATTGATTCTTCAGTATTCCAATCGTGTCTCAAGATGTAGAACTAGGTTTAGAGAAGAATATTACATAGGGATTCATGATCCTAGTACATTCATCATACATTAGAAAAACTTCACTTTGCATCGGCATCAAATTCATTAAGTTTAATTCATCACTCTTAATTGCATCCACATTACTATTTTAGTTAAAAGCTCATGATAATAACAACTCATTTTTATTATTTCGGTTAAGGTCACGATAATTTGAATTAGAACTAATCAATCCTTGTGGGACGATACTCGAACTCAAAAAGTCCACTTTATTACTTGTAACGAATCATACACTTGCAGTGATTTTAATTCTACATATTTTCGTGAACATTTGGCATCATGGAATGCCCAAGAGAATATGGATCACCTAAGAGAGGTCCATCCTAAACTAGATATGACATTTCTAGAAAAAGAGTTTGGTGGGTCGCCTAAGGTAAATGAAACATTTGTGCAAGGATGAAGTCCCATATTTCAGGGATGAGGCATCTTAAATCATATGAAACGGTGAAAAGGCAAAGTGAGGCCTCCTAATTCATCAAATAAAACCCCTTCTTCAGGGACGTCCACCATCTTCGTTTCAGCTATCATCATGTTCTCCTCACATAGCATATGGGTATTTGGTGATTATATTCATCTCTTATAAAGACCGAGCTGATGGGCTCTTTAGATATGGTCAAATACAGTAGTAGAGGCTTATCATATTTGGATTTGGAGAGGAACAGGGCTTGGTCGAGTTACTTCTACAATGGAACTTGATTTTTCATTTGAGGATTTTAAAAAAGGAAAATCATTTATCGGCGACTATTGATACAAAGCGACTCAAGGCTACTACATGTCTATTGAGGCTTTGTACCTATTTTGGTTTCTGAGGTGACCCCACATCTATCAAAGCTTTGACCTTCTCAGGTTTTGCCTCGATGCCAGTTTGGTTGACCATATAGCCTAGGAAAGTTCTGGAGGTAATACCAAAGGCGTACTTTAGGGGGTTTAACATCATCATGTACCTCCTCAAGATTTGGAAAGTAGCATCTAGATGTTTGACATGGTCATTTGTCTTTAGGCATTTGACAAGTATGTCGTCCATATATACCTCCATTATTTTACCAATGAGTTCGACAAAAAATTTATTCACAAGCCTCTAATAGGTGGCTCCGACACAGCATCACTTTGTAGCAATAGAGGCCTCTATCAGTGATGAAAGAGTTATTCTCCTCATCCGTGAGATGTATAGAGATATGGTTGTAGCCTAAATAGGCGTTCATGAAGCTCAACAACTCATGCCCCACGGTAACATCCACAAGTTGGTCTATGTAGGGAAAATGGAATCTACGAGAACGTTCTCCAACTCTTCCTTCGGAGCAGTTTATGAATTAGACTCAGTGATGCAAGGGTCCAATTCATCATATATCATCCCTTATTCAAAGTCCATCCTTTCTTCAGGGACATCTATTATCTCAACGTCTTTCCCTTATTCAGGGTATGCCCTTCTTTAGCGACGTCAATCATTTCAATGCCAACTATCACCTATTGACCTCACGGGTTGCAGCTTTCCTTAGGGAGTTCAAATAACATTTCCTAACCCCCAATTGGTCACCTCGAACTGTTGAATCACATTCTTCCATAGCTGATTGTAGGGACATATCTCCTTAGTTCCTATAGCCACTAAGCCTAGCCTCGTAATAAGTTATGGCGGCACAGCATTTAGCGTGGCTTAGGCAAATAATTGGCCTGAGGTAGGAGTGATTTGACGTCCTGCTTGGGTCCATTGGAGATTTACCAAATGGGAAACGGTACATCTACGTCTTTACCTTGTAGGATGAAGGAGTCCACTTGCCACTCTATTGTGGTGATCAATAATTTTCTCATTGATGATCTCATCCCTTATCAACTCTACCAACTCGTCATATGTAGTAAGATAGTCACATGTGGTAAGATTTTTGTTGTGAACATCTCTCCAGAATAGGGTGTTCATATTGAGGCCTCATTTTAGGACAAAGAGGGCCTCTACACCTGTGATCTTCTCGCAACATATCATCTTATCAATGAAATGGGCTAGGTGTGTAACGACTAAAGTCTCTATATTCAAACTATTATATCATACGTACTGTTCGCTTTGGGATGACATCTGCCCCTTATCCCTTTTATGACTTTATGTCGTGTCCCCGGAATTTGAACTCAAGTTATAACAATCTGAGACTCGAGAACGCAATAGAAAGATTTTAGAGGTAAGAGAATAGATGTTCTCCAAAACGGACTGTACATATGACATATCAGCTTAGGCACGAGGCCCAGTCATTACAAAAAAGTGCACATTTTTTTATAGCCATCTGAACCTCTGTATAACGACCCGAGCCTTTGCGCCCAATTCATTATATCATACGTACTATCCACTTTGGAAAGAAATAAGAGTGTAGATGTCCTTCCAAAGCGAAAAATACGTATACTATACCAACTTAGATAAGAAGCTCAGGTTGTTAAAAAATGCCATTTTTTATAATGACCCGGCCCCTAAACCGTTAACTTAGATATTATTCTCAAAGTCTCCAAGATTTTAACCCAAGACATCTGCCTTATGAGAGTTTTAAGTTGAATCATAATACCAAGCACTATAGAAAAGCTTAAATCCATCTTACCCCTCATGAATTTCTTTTGCGTTCCAACGATTCGAATCTAAAGCATCTACCTTATGATAGACTTAAGTTAAATCTTGGTACCAATTGAGTCTAATTGGTACCAGAATTAAACTTAAAGCTCTCATCGGCAAGTGACTTAGATTCAAATTCTAGGGAACGTGATAGAAAGGTATGAAGGGGTAAAGAATATAGACTCTTCCAAAGCGGACAATACCTATGATATAACAGTTTGGGCACAAGGCCCAGGTCGTTACAAAATGATGCTCATTTTTTTAAATAATTTATAATGTCTACAGAACAAGTTAAGACTCGGACTCTGATACCAACTATGACTACTCAAGTTCTTGTGATTCGAGTACCACTAAAATCATATCTTGAATGTAAAAATGCTTTCTAGAACTAGAAATTTTATTAAATACTCTCATAAAAATAAAGAGAGTCAATCATTAGCTTAAAAATGACATCAAAAAAAATTACTAGAGATTTAAATAAAAGTCTTAACGTCTAAATCAATATTTAATAAATTATTAAATAAATAAAAATGAGCCTGGAGGGCCTCCTTTCACTTGTCACTTCGCCAGCCCTTTCATACCTTCATTGCAACAAACATTCAATTTTCTATAATGAAAAAGAAAGAGTAAGAATTATTTCTCAATAAACATACAAGTGGAATGATTAATTAGTTCATACTTTAACGTAAGGAACGTCATAATATATTTAAGAAGATACGAAAAATTGTATCGAACATAGGTAGTATAGAATTCGTGTGTATCACTATTAAACTCTAATCCCAAACCTTAAGACATACATATAGGATCCATACTTAACTTTGTCCAATCATGAAACTTGCATATAGGATCTATATTCATCATTCCAACATAGCGCATGAAATAATATACCACAAACACTCATATGCTTACCCATGAGAATAAACTAAAAATTAAATCTTGGATAATAATTCTCAATCTACGTATGTGTAGTATCTACTATGGCTGTGTATAAGAAAGATGTGATGTATGAGTTTCTTGAAAATCATGTCTTGGAGGTATTGGAATGGGGCAATTTCTTCTCTCTTTGATCAAAAGTCGTTCAAAAATTGCCCAAAAACTTGGTTAATGAGCTTCAATTAAGGCTTCAAGGTGGACTCAAATCCAGGTCAATTCCATGTACTCACGGCCTCATTATCCTAAAAATAGGGAAAATAGATATAAATTCACCAATGATCATCCAACTTTATACTTAGTGTCACTATGATCACCCAATTTGATTTTGTTTCACTATAGTCACTCAATTTCATATACCGTTTCACTATAATTACCCAATTTTTTTCACAATTTTCACTAATTTTAAAAGGGGTAAAATTTTAACTTTTTAAGCTTTTATTTTATTTTATCTTTCAAGGAATGTTTTTTTTTTAAATAACTTCTTATTTTATTTTATTTTATTTTTCTAAGTAACTTTTTTTAAATAAGTTTTTATTTTATTTTAAAAACGTTTTTTTTAAATAAGTTTTTATTTGATTTTATTTTTTTAAGTAATATTTTTATTTTTCTTTATTTTTTTAAAATATGTTTTCATTTTATTTTTGTTTGTTTTAAATTTATTTTATATATATAATGCAAAGTTACCATTATAGTCCTTTTAAAATTAGTGAAAATTGTGAAACAAAGTTGGGTGGTCATGGTGAAAAGTTGAGTAGCCATGGTGAAATATTATATGAAATTAGGTAACCACGGTGAAACTTTATATTAAATTGGTGGCAACGGTGACCCTAAACCCTTTTTTAATCCTTATTTTTTTCAAAATATATTTTTTTCTTTATTTTCCAATCATACACTATTCAATAAAATAATATTACACGTAAATTCATTTTTTTTTCTAATTTTATAACCACACTTTTTCATCAATTTATTATTTCAATATACATTTTATACAAAAATAAAAACAAAAAAAAAAGGGCTCAAATAGGGAGTAAGTATAAAGTTGGATGGCATTGGTTTAGAGCTTGTTTGGTAAGGATTTTTGACGGAAGAAATGATTTTGAATAGTGATATGATGAGAAATGTGTGGTTGAAAAAGAAAAAAATTATTGACACGATGAAAAATATTATTTTATTGAAGAATGTGCGGTTAAAAATAGAATTGATTTGAATTCTCATGTCAAAAACAAACACCCCCAGAATTGGATGGAGGTAGATGAACCCAAATGGAAGAAATTAGCGAAATGTTCAGAAAATTCAATTAATTCTAGCATAAACAATCTCGATGATGGCTGTCTCATGCATATCTTCAGCTTCCTATCCCCTATTCCAGGTATACATATTTCTTTCAACGTTTCTATAGTATTCAAAGACCTAATAATCGTAGGTTGTTGATCCAAGCTAAGGACTTTTAGTTAGATTTTGTGAAACCCATGTCTTAATTTCACGAATATTTGGATTTTAAGACTTTTTTCAATTTTATAATTGGTAATTTTCTTCTTGCATATGGAGAAAAAGGTTGACCCTGGATTCTATATTTTACACTTAAATCTTTTGAAAAGCCAATTTGATTTGATTAATTGTTGAAAGACCTATGTTTTTCATCAATTATCCACGTAAAAGAGCAACTTTTTAGCACAATTTGCAAGATTTAACTAGTGCTGTGTTCCTAACTTGATTTCGTGATATCCAGTTTTGAGTCCGATTTGTAATTGCTATAAAGACTTTTAAAGTGACTAAGGTAGACCTTGGGAGTTGAAATGTTTATTTAAATTCGATTTGGATGTACATTTTGTGATACTCAGATTTCGCAACCTAATTTACGGAAATTGTGTTCTCTTGATCAATTTGTGAACCTCACTAAAGAACTACTTCTAGGAAACGCATGGAAGAAAAGGAATCTTGAATAATCCGAGTTGCTTAACAAAAACCTCTTACATGTACAGTAGCAACACTAAAACCTCAACTACCCACACATCAAGTTGCACAACCCATATGCTCTTTATCATCAAAAACAAGAAAAAAAATGTGATCTAGTTATAGTTGAGATGCAACCCATAATTATTGGTTGATATTATATCTTCTTAGATGTACAGACAAACTGAAGTGACAAAAAGGAAATCATGTAGACGACTCCAAAATTATTATGGACAAGGCATAGTTTGTTGTTGATTTTGTTATTTTTTGGTTAAACAAATTGTTGATGCTATTTTCTTTATGTAATACTACCCTAAAAAGATCAAGGGTATTATTTGTCTAGTTAGTAGTCCTTAGATATGCTTGATAATTATGACCACCAAGTTAAATATTTCTTTCATTATGTCACTCAACTTACCTTAAAATCCTAATCACTACAGGTAACCTTTAGTCATCATTTTCAATTTTCTACAGCATACTTGTTGTACACCCTCTAATAGTTAGATAACACCACAGTTCATGTAAAACCTACCAATTTTTTTATAGTTGAACCATGAGACTTCTCTTTTCTATTTGCTTTGAGGTAATTGGTTTTTTCTGAGATTCTAGCACCTTCTTTTCCACTGAAATACTGAGTTATTTTAGCTGGATTTAGTAAAAACTGGTACTGGACATCCCTCTTCCCATTTGAATTGAATGGGAAGTTCAGGGAAAAAAGGTGTAACGTAAGGAAATGTTGATATCTTGCATGGCATTGAATTTTCACTGCAACAATGATTTCAACTGTTTAAAATTGATGTATTGATTGCGGTCCACTGCTTGTTAATCCTTATTGATATCATATAGCTGAAACTAGAAGCGCATAGAACTTTCAGCTGAAGATTCAGACATGAGCAATAGTTGTATCTATTACAATAGCTCAAATTAGTTTTTCGAGAAGTAATTGAAACTCATGACTGAGAATTTTATAATCATTCAAGTTAATAAGACTGTATGTTTTCTGCTTAATATATGATAGAAGTATCTATTTATAAATCATGATGCACAAATGTTGCAATATGTTATGGTATCTGTTACGAATTGCTGTTGAGTTTGCAGATAGGTATAACACCGCCCTCGTTTGCCACAGATGGCGTTTTCTAGCATGTCACCCTTGACTTTGGCTGCGTGTAGATCGTTCCATCAAAAATCACTCTGAGCCAGGAGTTTACCCCAGCATTGAGACAGCTGTCTCTGCTGCTAGGTAGGAGGAAGTTTTTTTTCCTGTGCTAGACAGACAATTCTTGGGATTACGTTGGTCATGAGAAGTTGTACAATTCTGTATCAATGCTATGCAGGCCTGGAGACACTATACAGATTTCAGCTGGAGGGATTCATCGTGCCTCTAATATTCAGATCAAAAAGCCTCTTTGCTTGGTAATTTCTAAATTTTTTCCTGAGAGTTGTTTAGTAGCACTTTGTTAAAGCTAGAATATGGCCTCCTTTTAGATGAAAAAAATCTTGTTATGTGTCTCCCATTGCCAAAGTGTAGGACAACATGTTAAATCCAGGAGATGCAACTTTATGTCCCCTCCGATTTTACATCTTACTAAAAACCTTCATATAGTCATGCCAGCCATTTTCTCTTCTTTTTGTGGGAGGAAGAGGAGTGGTGATATCTAGATAGTTCAGTATTTTTGTTGGTTGAGCAAAGAGAAGCTGACATGCATTGGCCCTGCTGTTAGCTTGAAAATGAAATGATTTTTTCATTCATACACGAGGATGTGGTTAATTACACCTCAGTTACATTTATCCTTCCCCTATCACTTGGCAAAGGCAAGTTGTGATAAATATATTCTTTAATTGGTATCAAACTCTATTTTGATTTCCAGTATAATATAGTTTCTCCAAAAGAGGAGCGCAACTAGAAGAAGAAAAAAAATAGCAAAAGGATGATGGTATAGGAATCACCTCCATAAAATCGGCTATGGGGTTTTTTGAAAGTACCGATTTTGGATGTTTGTGAGGGGTCTAGTTTTTGGTGGTTTTTAATAGAGATTTTTAAACAATCTAACCCATGTTGGGAAGCTTATTATCCAACAATTCTAGAAATTTTTTAAAAGAATACAATTATATATATGCCTCACTCCTTACAATTCAATATGGATTTACATAGTTTACACAATCATATTTTATTGTGTTTCGACCAAATATTGTTGCTTTAAAATAAGCTCTTACATTCCAATCAATTTTTATTGGATTATTAGATGAATAAACAAATATAATTGTGAAGTTGGGTATATCTAAGTTCTTTCTACTAAATACTTCTTTAAGAGATGACATTCAATTTTTTTCTTGGTGAAATTTTCAATATATAATTTCTTGTATAAAAAAATTTTTATTCGTGATATTTACTTATAAATAATATTTTTACATATAAATTAGTTTTTAACTTAAAAGTGAAATATGTACTTATTATTTAATTTTTAAGTTATAAGTTATTTTTTACTTAATAAGTAAAGTTTAGAGTTATAAGTTAATTTTATACTAAGTAAATTTTTACACAAGTGAATTTTTTACTCATAAGTAATTTTATATATTTTATTAGTGATTTTTTGTCATATAAGTAGTATTTTTTACTTTATAATCAATTTTTTTATATAAAAAGTGAATTTTTGTCTTATAAGTGATTTTTTACTTATAATAAATTTTTTTATTATAAAGTAATTTTTTGCTTATAAGCAATTTTTTAGTTATTGTATTTTTTATTTATAAGTAATTTTTTGAGTATAATTTATTTTGGTCTTGTAAGTGATTATTTACTTAAAATACTTCTTAATAGATGACATTCATCAATTTTGAACAAAATATGTGGGTGAGAAATAATTGCTTCGGAAGGTAACATTGAAAGAAAAAGGGTAAAAAACTGCTGATTTGGTGAGTTTAAAAATACAACCCAAATTACACTGCACTTGTATGGGTGATTTAAAACCAGTGCCCAAAAAACCTCACAAGCATTGATTTTCCCAACCTCTAATAAACAGTGCGACCCCAAAAATAATCAAAACCAGTGGAAAAAAATTGGTAAGTAGCCAGTAGGCCCTAAAACTAACTTCCTTAAATTTAATCATTATTCATGTGATTATCTTCGTCTTATTTTCTCCTGGCTTGAACTCTTCATACAGACGAATAATTGTAGCAGTTGAAGAGTGGCTTTCATGTCCAAGGTGTATTTTTTTTAGTTTAGCTGCATGCATGGAAATTTGACTGTGTTAATGAAATGTAATAATGTATGGCTGCAGAAATTTCTTCTCAGGTCTTGCTGAGGGGCTAAGTTCATATTTATGGTGTTTTATTCTTCTCTCTCTTATCCTGTGTTTCATATTGATCTTTCTTTACGGTGGCAGTTAAGTTTCTGGTTGGTTGATTGAGTTGATAAAATATATGCTATTTGCAAGGGTTTAATACCTTTTTATTTCTATTTGTCCTTTTTTGGTATTTTTTTTCTATGTAAGAGGAATGGATGTTTTTGAATATCTCAATGCCAGCTCTAACAGTCTGTATTGCTGTCGATATCAAGAGCATACAAGGGGAAAATATATTTAGATAACTTCATTTTTACCTTACTTCGTCAGATTGGCGCGGGTGAGCTTCCTGATGATACAACGCTCATTTGCTCCGGAGGCTCTGACAGGTTTGCGCAATTTACCTTTTCCTTGTTGATGATTCCATGGGAATTACTGTTTTCAAATAAAATGAACATCCATCTCCAAGCTGGTGAATATGACATATTTACAATTTTACTCTCTTTTGGTCTGCTTGGTTCTAAATACGTTAATGATTGGAGTATATTTGATCTTAGAGGGCTTAGCATCAAAATCTCAACAACTTTGCTTTCTTTGTCTTCCGACTCTAAGGGTGAATGCTTTGGATTTTGAGTTTGAAATTTGTCACCTCTTATAAGATCTTGTGAAAAGATGATGCTTTCTCATCATCCAATGCAGAATTTTAATAGATGTTTCAATAATGTATTTTAAATACGAGTTATATATATACATCAAGAAACAGGATAGTTTTCTTCAAGCTATCCAATCCACCATGGAAAAAGTTATCCAACAGTTTGGAGTGGGCTCCTAAAAACCCACCTGGAATTTATTTCATTGCATTATTGTATGCATTATTCCTTGTGCTTGAGCAGTGCATTGGAGTTCTTGTCAACATGCAAGCTGGCTAACTTGACGGTGAGGTCAGAGCTTGGTTGTTGCCTGCTTCATAGGAGTGGGAGGTTGACCATTGATGGGTGCATTCTTCAGTGCGAGTCAAATCCGTTGGACCATCTCTCGCATGCAATTGTCACCACTGCATCTAGCCCTGTAGTCTCATCTGTGCTTAAGAATTCTAGCGACTCTGTTTCTGTTTCACGTACAAGAATTGAAGGAGGTGCCAAGGCTGTGTTGACGAGTGGAACTCTCTCGCTGCAGCGAGTTAGAGTCATATGCACTCGCGCTTCCATCATTTTCTGGTTCAACATTGAGCATAGTTGACATACACATGCAGTGTACTTATTTTTCTTCCGTCTCCTGTTCGGCAGGGTAGAACTAGGCAGGGGAGTTTTTTTTTTTTTTTTTAACTTATTTCCAGTTTTATATATTATCCTCTGTATTATTACTGTTTCAATGTTTAATCTATGCCATTGTGGTATTTCAAATTCCTTACCTGTTGAAATTACCATTGTGCAAACCATTAAATAAAGGGTCTGTGAACTCATGAACACAAAAATATTTTGAATACATCTAGATGACTCAATACTCAATTTCGTTCACATACAGAGACAGAAGATGATGATGGATTTGAAAAGAAACCTAATTACAAAGCTCACGAGCAATACCCAAGCGAGAATTTGCAGTGTCGAACAAGATCCTCAGGTTTTGCTGCTGCAAATTGGCTATAACATTCAACACCGAGTTCACATTATTCGGTGCAGCTGCCATAGCCAAGCAAGCCAAAGAACCTGAACTACTGTGTATCAAACTGTTCTCCATTGGCAGCACCAAATCCATTCCTGTAAAATGGAGAACTACAGGTGGAGCTATATCTTCATTTGTGGCTGAAAAGCAGGTATCAAATGCCCCCAATGAGCTAAATGGACCTTTCACCTGTTTTCTAAACTCAACCCGAATTGCACTGTATATGGGTTGAACAAAACGGGTTATAACCGTGCCCGAATCTATGATGGTACCTGCTCCTGTGTTCGGGTCAAATGCTAGGATCTCTGGGGCTATGGGGACCTGGACCTTGCCGATACTGACTCCAGTGAGGTTCACGTAGTATAGGGATGGGCGATGCGGGTTTTTGAGAAGTGGGGTGGTTCTGATGTTCTTGGGTTGACCCAAGGGTCCGAGTTTGAGCGAACCTGAGAAGTAATAGGACTTGAAGCTTGGTAAACAGTAGGAGAATACACCAGAATAGAGGGACCCGGATTGTGAGAGTAATGACATGGAGCCCCGACCCATGCCCAATAACCCCTGGGGCGGTATTGACCCTCCGGAAACCGAATTGATGCATCCAAAAGCGTAATTCTGAATGGCATCATTGGCTAGCCAGAGTGTGTCATGCGACAGGGTGGCGGAGAAAGAGGAGCCGCCGCCGTAGGACTGGTTGAACGAGCATGAAGTGGCAGCGTCAGTGGCCGTGCAGGAGACACCGCGTACTTGGGTGCATTCTGGGACTGAGCAATCTAAAGACGAGTAAGTGGAGGAGGCGTTTGGTGTGAACACGGCCGAGGAGGCAGCGCAACCGGTGCAGCCACTGCATGGAACCCATGCAGCATCGCTGCTTGTATCCAACACCATGAACAAGAGCTGACCCGGATTCCCAATTTTGGCCCGGAGAACATAGTTTCCGATGTTCAGCACCTGCTGACCAGGGGCAATTGGAACAACACCACCTTTTCGGGCAGCCTGGGGCGGCGCCGCCACAAGGCTGGATAAATAGGAAACTCTTTCAGGGTCTTTAGAGGCCAATTTCATGACTGTGTTTATCAATGAAGAGGCAGGTTTTGGAGGGTTAAAGGGTGAGCATTTACCATAAATGGGGATTACAGAAAGGTCTGAAGAATCAGCACATGGATCAAAAGCTAATGCTGTGGAAAGAAGAGAACTGAACAGGACTGCAACAATGGCTAACTCCATTGATGAGCTTAGAATTGCTTTACTCAACCAGAGTCCAGTGAAGTGTTTGCTGAGGATAATAGAGAAATTTATAGGAAGATGGAGGAAGTGAGTGATAAAAGTGTCATTTTTGGCATGCATGCACGTGAATGAGAGTGAAAGCTTCGAAAATATAATTTATTTGAATAAAAAAAATACTTTTTCAGATAAATGTTCTTAACATGTAATTAAATGATGGCATAATTCCAGGAAAATGTTATCCCTTCCGAAACTAGAATGCGTATAAACTTGGACAGCACAACATACGTTGTCCATGCAACAATCATCAATTGGTAATGAGACGAATGTCATGTTATTAATTCCCATGTTTATATATTTCATTCACCCATTCATCGCGTTAAAAGGGAGCCTCCCACGCAACATTTATAGTAGTTTGTGCTCAAATATGATCCAAATCATACGATTAAGGAAACGAGGACTCTATATGAACTTGATAGAATATTGAGATGGTAGCGTGTCTTGAAACCTAGAACTTAAAACACCTAAAAACATAATTTTAACGTAATTAAGTCACGAGTAATGCTATTTATCATTATGCTGATGGAACATCCCGATAATGTGGTAATTCATTATTCCTCACTCACATTTTTCTCTCTCATAAAAATTGAACTGTGCAATCACATTATTCCACATAAACTGTCACATCAATGATATTTCGTCATTATAATGATAAATAGCATTGTTCTAAAGTCATACACAGTATATGAAACTATATGTATTATTAGAATAATTATTGTTAAATTTTTAAATTATGGACAAGTGGTTGTTGAAGATTTTCCTAAATTTATATTACTAAAATAAATATATAATAGGTAAATTTTGAGGGTGTTGTGAAGAGATTGGATAAATAATATCAAGAATTTTTGGCTGAGTTTGCAAGCAAATGGTTCCAAAAATGCTGTCGGTCACGGACTCACGGAGGGACTTCCTAATTCACGTGCAATTATCGAACTTCTTTTCATTTTTGTCTGTAATGAATCAGCAATTCTTTCTCTCATATAATTGCTTGTTTATATACGGTAATTTCGGGCTGTTAAGCCAGAAGAGAGTCTAGTGTGCTACTACTAGACGGTTCAAATGTTTAGCTTCTAAATTGTGGACACTGAAATTTATTATAAGTGGCCTGTGTCGAGACTGACTAAGTTCGTTTGATGCTGATGCTCTCAGCGAGGAACTTCTATTTGATTTGTTATAACCGGTAGACCGTAGGTCATATCCGTGCTGCTTCGTTCCTAGAAATGAAAATAAGGCAGCCCATGTTCTTGTCTCTTGTGCTCCATAAACGAAAATCAGAGTGGCTACATGTACATTCATTTTATACATTAAACTTGACATTCATGGCTATAATTTTGACACATCAATTGATGTCAAACTAATTAGTTGTACAAAATGAATGTACAACTGGATTATCCCAATAAAAATTGGTTGCATGTAAAATAAGTAACCTATTTCGGACTTTGTCCAATAATAAATTTGTATTATTTTTAAGTAAACTACTTAAAAGTAGCCTGGCATGTTCCCTTCAGTCCATAAAACGATAAAGTGCATCAATTCACTCACTCCAACAAAATCAACAGTCACCCAAAAAAAAAAAGCTTCACCTTTATTTCTAATCGAGTTAAAGTAGATGCATGAATTATTTTCTATTATCTTATTAATTCATCGCTATAGTTACTGAAATATCTGGGGTTAATAATTTGATTGAGCACCGAACTTCGCACAAAGTTCTTAGTGTATCACTAAACTTTAAAAGTTTTCTCATTAATCATTGAACTTTGTAATATATAACTTCATCAATCACTCAATCAACGGTCGTTTGAAAAAAAATGATGGAATTGCTGACGTGGCAAATGGAGTCGTCGTGGCACGATATTTTAATTAGTGGATGCCAAATCATGAAGTTGTTGATGACATGGAGTAAGTGTTATTTTAAAACATGTTTTTTTACACCATTTAAAAAAAAGAACTAAAATAATCGCAAGCATTTGAAATTTCGCAATTATATAGTGTGACGTCAATAACCCACTGAAAACTTCTTGCAAAATTCAATGCTCAATCAAATTATTAACCCAAATATCTGAAAGTATAATTGACAATATTAATTTTAACATACCAGAAGCCAGGACACAAGAAGACACATGTTGGATATACATGGAAAGCCAGTCAATTGGAAACCAAGACAAAACATTAAAAATCGTGGCTATCAAGCCTTGGTCGACCAAACTAAAAAATCCAAGGAAGTGAAAGATGAAACATTCAATTCTGAACAATAGCAACTATATCAATTTTTTTTCGAGTCTTCAAACATCGAGTCAATCACCCACACACGGTCCTTCAAGCTCATTAGCCCACAAAGGTAGTTTCTGATCGCATGACAGATGCTTACCATCTATTCAATTCATACTCACCCCATTCTGGTAATATCAAAGTTAAGATTACAGACGGGTTACTCTCATCTGTTGCTGAAAAAGGGATCATTCGTATTTCCGAATCTATAACTTTAAAATGTCCTTGATGTCCCAAATTTATCATGGAATTTATTATCTATCGGTCAATTAACAAAAGACTTAAATTGCTCTGCTAATTTTACTCAATCTCACTTTATATTTCAGGATCTATCATCGGGGAAGGTGATTGGCAATGCTAAAGAGTGTGAGGGACTCTACTACTTCGAAGAAGCTGTTGTGGGTAAACGTCAAACTAAAATTTGTGATTTTAGGTTTATCTCTAGGGATAATGATATCTATTATGGCATTATAGAATAGGCCACTCAAACTTGCAATAGTCACGACATGTATTTCCTTCTATTTTTTTGAATTAAACATCAGTTGGCTTTCAACGTGAAATATGTAAGCTTTCCAAACACCATCGCACTACTTTCCCGAAATCCACATACAAACAATCAAAATCATTCACCATAATTCATAGTGATCTATGGGGTCCCTCACGAATTCATAATCGTACTCACACAAAATGGTTTGTCACGTTCATAGATGATCACACTCGATTGTGTTGGACTTACCTACTAAAAGAAAAAACTAATGTGCGTTTCATATTCATTAATTTTCACCAAATGATTCAAACACAATTCCAAACACAAATTCAAATCCTTTTCACTGATAACGATATTGAATACTTCAATACCACTCTACGAGATCATATACAAAAACATGGAATTGTCCACCAAAGTTGGTGCATCGACACTCTCCAACAAAATGGGATTGCTAAGCGAAGAAACAGATATATACTTGAGGTTGCCCGAACCTTAATGTTTACCTCAAATATGCCAAAAATGATTTGGGAAAATGCTATCTTGACATCAACCTATCTTATCAACCACATGTCGAGTCGCACTCTTTCCTTCGATTCACCTATCCAAAAACTTCAAGATTCATTTCCCAATTCTCGTCTGAACATCTCTCAAGATGTTCGGTTGTACCGTCTTTGCTTACATTTATTCCTATTATGAAGCAAACTTGATCCCCGTGCCATTAAATGCGTCTTCATCGGATACTCACCTACTCGAAAAGGCTACAAATGTTATGATTCATCAACAAAGAAAACATTTGTCAGTCTTGATATTACATTCTTTGAAATGATATCTTACTTCAAAAAAATCTCTCTTCAAAGGGAGAATTCTAATGAAGATAGGTTTTCCATTGAAAACATTAATTCTAATGAAGATAGGTTTTTAAACCTTGATATTTCCCCTGAAAACATTGATATCGCATCTCCAAAGCCTAATATGCCATGGATAGAAGAGAATTTGAACTTAGGGGGAGACAGAAAAAAACAAAATGACAAGGAGATGTTAGTGTACTCAAGAAAGCCAAAATCAAAGTAAAATGAGAATCTTACACCTACAACACCAAGAGAATCGAAACCGATGATAGCTCTGAATTCCTATGAGTCAGAATCTCCAGATATCAACCTACCTATTGCACTCAGAAAACAAACTCGGTCATGCACTATTCATCATATTTCATATCTTATAACACTATATCTATAAGATTTCATACTTTTAAATCTAATCTTGATAGTACTGAAATTCCAAGGAGTATACATGAGGCATTGAAAATTCCCAAATGGAGAGAATCAGTCATGGAGGAAATGCGAGCATTGAAAAAAAAATGAGACTTGGGAAGTTATGGATCACCGAGAGGAAAGAAACCCATATGATGCAAATGAGTCTTCAATGTGAAGTATAAAGCTGGTGGAATAATAGAACGATATCAAGTTCGTCTTGTTGCAAGAGGATACACACAAATCTATCGTATTGACTACACAGAGACATTTGCACCAGTAGCCAAGTTAACACAATCAGGGTTCTTCTGTCCTTAGCAACTAACTTGGATTGGCATCTGCAACAACTGGACATTAAAAATGTATTTCTTAATGGGGAACTGGAAAAAGAAATCTTTATGACTCTACCATCAGGATTTTGTAAAAGAGATGAGGAGAATTGGATTTGTAAACTCAAGAAATCGTTGTATGGTCTCAAACAGTCACCTAGGGCATGATTCGATAGATTTGTAAAAGTATTAAAAGATCAAGGTTTTCAACAGGGACAATCAGATCACACCATGTTCTTCCAACAGTCAAAAAATGGAACAAAGACCATTTTGATCGTAAATGTAGAATATCCTAACAGGAGACAATATAAATGAGATGAAGAGACTTAAGAGCAATTGAATTTGAAGTAAATGATCTGCAACACATGCGGTTCTTCTTAGGAATGGAAGTAGCGAGAACAAGAAGGGATATCGGTGTTTCACAATGAAAGTATATCATGATCTCCTAACAGAAATAGGCATGTTTAGATGTAAACCAAACGACATTGCTTCTGTGGTAAATGTGGTAAGCCAGCATATGCATTCTCCAAAACAAAGTCATATGGAAACAATATACAGATTCCTCATATATCTTAAAGGCTAACTTGGAAAATGATTATTTTTCAAGAAGAATGAAAACAGGAAAATAGAAGTATTCACATATGCAGATTGGGCAAGTTCAACGAACGATAAAAGATTAAGTACTGGTTATTGTACCTTTGTATGGGGAAATTTAGTGACCTGGAGGAGTAAAAAGAAAAATTTAGTAACAAGAAGTAGTGCTGAAGCTAAGTTTAGAATGGTGGCACAAGGGGTATGCGAAGGACTGCAGTTAAAGAAATTCTTGGAAGAATTACAAATCATGGTAAACCTTCCAATCAAGCTCTATTGTGATAATGAAGTAGTCATAAATATTTCTCGTAATCATGTTCGACATGATCGGACCAATCATATAGAAGTGGACAGGCACTTCATCAAAGAAAAAGTTGAACTCGAAGTTATTTATATGACATTTGTTCCTACTAAAGAGCAAATTGCAAATATATTCACAAAATGACTACCCCGACAAAGTTTTGACTATTTCTTTTGTTAGTTGAAAATGGTCAACATTACCATCCAACTTGAGGGAGAGTGTAGGAATCCGAGTGTGATATTGCAATTGATTTGGCTGATTTGGTTATTTGTACTGTTACGGGCCTGTGTCAGACTCGCCACCTCGCCCACCACGTGTCCGTACCCGTGGCCCAGGCCACGTGTCGAACGAGGTGATTGAACCAGGGACGAGCTGGTTGTACACGCCGAGGTGAATGCATGAGGGGCGAACTGAACACGCGTCAGCGAATGAACCGGACTCATCCACAAGCACGCAGTG